GGGATCATGACCTGAGCCGAAGGCAGACGCTTAACGACTGAGCCACCCGCGCCCCCCGAAAGGTTTTTTAAACAGGTCAGCAGCCTTGCTCTGTCTCCCTGCCCCCAGGTTTTCCAGCTTGTCTGCCTGACCAAGCTGTGAGCCCATATCACAGGCAGAGATGATCAGGATGGGAAAGGACGAAGAGCTTTGTCACACAGAAACCCGTTACCGTAGTTCCTGATTGGCTTTGCTGACCATTGGGTCATAAATGGCCTCTGTTACTGTATTAGTAAGTGTGGTTTACACAGATAAATGTTACCTTCAAAGCCAGGGAGCACTCAGAGATGAGCACACTTTTTAAATGCACTCGGAAGAAATTGATGAGCAGTCAGTGATGAAAAGCCATCCAAGTGAGGGGTGATTCTGTCTGGTCATCATTAGCGATCCCAACAGCTGCTGCTACAAGGCCTTGGACGCGTAGTGCCTGCCAGGTGACCATAGAATGGGAGAGTGGGCAGCCCCAAGAGTGCAGCTGAAGAAAAGTACTGGCTGTCTGGCCAGTGGCTTCTGCTGCTACACAGCATCAGCAGTGGGCTGTTGATTTCACAGTCATGTGTTGGGGGCCCAATAGCCAGTTCTGGGCCATCTCTGGGGCTACAACCATGAATTAGGCATGGTTCTTGCCCTCAAGGAGCTTGTAATTTGGGGAGACAGAAAAAAAAAACTTGCCGCTTTCCATAAGAAATGTGATTTACTGATGACTTATGTGTCAGAAACTTGGCTAGACTTCAGAGTTTGCTTAATCCTCACAATGAATATTAGGACTGTTGTCCCCTTATTACAGTTGAGCAGCTAAGGCTCAGAGAGGGCAGGTAACTGTCAGGTCGCACAGCTGGTGAGTGTTGAGCCAGATCTCCAACCTAGGAAGGCTGACTCCAGAGCACATGCTCTTTTGGCCCCGATGGAAGGGCCAGGGAAGGATGAAGGGGTGCCAGTACTTGTGACCTCAGTGGGTCTGGAAAATCACTGAGATTCTGTGTGGGAGATGTGGGAAGTTGTCAGTCGTCTGCTCAGTCTTCATTGCTTGAACTTGAGGAAGACCTAGATGCTGATGTTTCCACAGGGGCGTTTATTTTGGGTTTGTAATAAATGTCACAAGAGTGAGCATAAGGTCTACATTCTTTTCCCAACTAATCTTGAAAGCTGAATGCTTTGGCTGCTCCGCTGAGTTAGTGAGGATGTTGTGGCAATTCTTCTGTAGGTCTCTCCAGAATTGTATTTTTTTAGATACCAGTTAGTTTCGGTTCCATCGGTGTTGGCAAAGGCAAATCAGAGGAACCCTGGCAGGGATTTTTTAAATTTTTTTTTAATCCAGCCAGTTGCTCCCCTACGCCATTCCCCAACACCCCTGCCAGCCTTTAGACATCTCTGCTTACTTGTCCTCCTGCAGGCTCCTTTCTGTTGCTGCTGACTGCCTGCAGTTAGCCTCAGTCTTGAGCACGCCAGGTCTGTGCTTGTGTGCAAGGATCCTGCCGGAGCAGAGGGACCGTGGTGCCAGCTGAGTTGCTATAGTTATAATTTAATTGCATCAGCTTTACAGCCTATTAAGAGCAAAAAGGGAAAATGTTTTCTTGGTAACAATTATCAGTCATGCTCTCTTTCTTGTAAATTTCCATTCTTCCTCATTTCTTTCTACCTTAAATTCGTTATTTTAAGGAGGAGGAAGTTGAAACATTGAGAGAATGGGTATAGGGTGGGGCAGGTGCTTAAAAAGAAACCCGAAGGGCTGATGACTGTATTTTTCCACCTTGATAGGCAGACATAAAGTGTGATGTGAATATTTTAGTACAGGGTGAAGGCAGAGGAGAGAACTGAGCAGGAAAAATTTTCTTACATGAAATAAATTTTGGAAGAAAATGTGTCTTTAAGATTTTAGTTAAGATTAGATTGTAGATTTAAGATTGAATTGTTCTGTGCTGAATTCATTTGTTTAAATATACTTTGTTGGATTTTTCATTTTAGGGAACAGATTTGAAAGCTTTTTTGCATGTGTGTTTGATATTTTTAAATTGTTAAATTTCTTCAGACATGAAGAAGAATATGCATAACATATATAAAGGTGTAAATCAGGGGTTATCAGCCTATGAACCATGAGCCAGCTCCAGCCCGCTGCCTGTCACAGTCCTATTGGAACACGGCCACACTTATGTATGTATTGTCTGTGCTGTTTTTGTGCTACAGTAGCAGACTTGAGTAGTTATGACAGAGGCTGTATGGCCTGCAGAGCCTGAAATATTTACTGCCTGCCTTGTACAGGATAAGTTTGCTGATTCCTGGTGTAAATAATAATAAAATGAATTGCACGTTGCACAGTGAAGACATAGAATATCATCAGTAGCTGTGAAGCCCTCCCTGGGTACCCATTTTCAATTGCATCCCCCCTTTTTTCCCATCAGAGATGCCTCATTGGATTTTTCCAGTCAGACTCAGAAGCCAAACAACTTAGAGTTGTACAAAGAGAAAGCCAGCAATCACTCTCTCTCCTTAACTTTATCCCGCAAGGTAACTAGTGTTACTGATTTGCTTCTTCTTTCACACTTTTCTCCATGTTCATGCGAAACATATATGAACATTTATTTGTCCAAAGTTTTACAGTAAATGATAACTTTACTTGCGGTAATACTACTAAGCAACCTTTTTGAGCACTTGCCCTTTGTCAGGCACCATGCCAAGCACTTTACATGCATTATATAATTTCTTCTTAAAATAAGCCTGTGAAATAAGTGTTATTATCTCTGTTTTATAATTGAGAAACGTCAGGTAGCAAGTGGCCAAGCCAGAATTCAAATCCAGCTTGCTCAGTAAGAATCTCTTCCATTTGTATGGCACTTTTCAGTTCCCAAAGAATTGTCACAGGCGTTCTCCTGACTGGTCTCCACAAGCCTGAGAGGTGAGTGAGGCGGGGATTTTTCTCCAGATTTAACAGAGAAAGAAAATGAAGCTTGGAAAACGGATGCATCTAAGATTTTTAGGCAGTAAGAGCCAGGTGAGACTTGAACCCAGGCCTGCTGACTTTGTTACTGCTCCCCGTGTGTACTGAGGACACCTTTTGTCCTCTTACTTTCCTGGGACCTAGAGTGTTTGATTCCAGCCTCTGTGGCTTTTTGCTCGGGAGAAGCTGCCTAGTTTATGGAAATTGAGGCAGGTAGAAGGCAAGGAGCATTTGGATTTTTCCACCCTTAGAAGCTGGAAGTTTCTGGTACAGCCTTTATTTATAAAGCCTTCCTCTTACCCTAAATTCCTTCCCCTTTTTCCTCAGTTCTCTGTCCACCTCTCCCCATCAAGGCTTCTGCCTATTCACTGGACAGTTCCTGCAGGCAACACCCACTCGGATGACTTTTCTCTTCTGAGTACTCTCATAGCTAGTTTTTTTTTTTAATTTCAAGGCTCTCAACCCTAGTACACCTTAAAATTGCCTGGTACTGGGTGCATTCTCAAATATCACTGGCGGGGATATGGCACCTGTCGGACACAATTTGGCAATATCAGGCGAATTTACCCTTGACCCAGCAGTCCCTTTTCCAGGGATCTATCCCAAAGACACACTGGCAGAAGTACAGAAGATGTGTGCACAGTGATATTCATTGTGGTATTATCTGTAATAGCAGAAATTGAAAACTCAAAACATCCATCAGTAGGGGACTGGTTGATTAGATGTGGTACATCTTGGTAGTGGAGTATTTTTCAGTAATACAAAAGAATGAAAATATACACTACCATAGAATGACCCAATGTTCACAAATCAGAAGACTTAATATTGTTAAGATGTTAATACTGCCCAGATTGATCTGCAGATTCAGTGGAATCCTTATCAAAATTCCAGCTTGCTTTTTTGCTGAAATTGACAAGTAGATCCTAAAATCCATGTGGAAATAAAGACACCTGGAGTTGCCAAAACAATCTTTAAAAGGCAGAAGAAAGTTGGAAGGCTCACACTTCCAATTTCATAACTTCAAACAAAGCTACCGTAGTCAAGACTGTGTGGTACTGGCATAAGGAGAGACAATCGAATAGAATGATGAGTCCAGAAATAAATCCATGTGTCTGTGATCAGCTGATTTTCAGCAAGTGCCAAGAGCATTCAGTGTTTTTTCAACAAATGATGCTGGGACAACTGGATATCTATATGCAAAAGAAAGAAGTTGGACACCTTAATTCTAAATGTAAGACAGACCTAAATGTAAGAGCCAAACCTTTAAAACTCTTAGAAGAAAACATAGGTATAAACCTTTCTGACCTGAAGTTAGGCAGAGCTTTGTTTGATATGAACTGAAAGCACAAGTGACAGAATAAAAAATAGATAAATTGAACTTCATCAAAATGAAAAACTCTTATACTTCAGAGGACACTATTAAGAAAGTGAGAAAATAGGGACGCCTGGGTGGCTCAGTTGGTTAAGCGTCTGCCTTCGGCTCAGGTCATGATCCCAGAGTCCTGAGATCGAGTCCCACGTTGGGCTCCTTGCTCAGTGGG